ACACACACACACACACACACACACACACAGAGTGCACCTCACAACCCCTAAGAAGTAAAGGACAGACGACTACTTCAGCCATATTGTTGTTGCCAATGGCCATCAATGATTCCTTTCTCCTTCCTTGCCTTCTTCCCCTCCCCTCGCCTTTCCCCCTCCCATCTCCCCCCCTCCCCACCCACCCAACCTTTCTTTCCTTTTGCACCTTAGTAGATAAGCCTGTAGGGCAAAGATTTTGAGCTCCTGAATCATATTCCTTCACTGAGTTCACTCATAGGCTGACATTCCGTGCACAAAGCATTTGCACTTCATGCACTTGTCGTCATTTACCACCTTTTGTTCTCCGTCGTTTATTTTATTTCTATGCAACAAAGGACTCCCAGCCGGGCACCTGTGGCTGCACCCGATGTGCGCTGGGCATGTAAAAACTCCAGTAATTTCATTTATTTATTTACTACCATTGGTGGGCCCAAAAAAAAAAAAACAAAAAAAAAAACCATTGGTGGGCCCTTTCTGCACCCACTGAAAAGCAGACCCAAATCCGGGTCTTTGTTTTTCAATTCGTGACTGGGGGAGGGGGGGGGGGGGGGGGGGGGGGGGGGGGGGGGAGAGGGCGAGGGGGCGAGGGGGTATAAATAGGACATAAAGCAGCTTAAAAGGGTTTAACGCAGGGCACCTTAGTTTGTTTTCTTCACTTCCTTTTCGATCTCTGATTCAGTAAGGAATTCTGAGAGGACCCTCAGCCAAACATTGTTTTTGTTTGCTGTAGTCCCCCGGTATGCCAGAGTCATGTATATGCCCAATAGGAGCCAGTGCAGGGCCCTGCGGAGTGCAGGTACTGCATTCCTGCGGTCAGGGGACCCGGCGGCGGAAGATGCCATCAGACGGGTCACATGGATTAAGCTTATACAGCCTAGGCGGGATGGGGGAATGGGGATTATTGACCCACAGCACCAGGCCAGAGCACTACATGCGCGCCTCGTCTTGTGGCTCATCATGGAGGATGGCTATGCTGACTGGAAGAGAGTGGCCAGGCCGCTGTGGTCAGGGGAGCGTGCGGCGGAAGATGTCATCAGACGGGTCGCATATATTATGCTTATACAGCCTAGGAGGGATGGGGGAATGGCAATCATCGACCCACAGTACGAGGCCAGGGCACTCTATGCGCACCTCGTCTTGCGGCTCATCATGGAGGATGGCGATGCCGGCTGGAACAGAGTGGCCAGGCCGCTATTGGCGGAGGCGTTGAGGGTGATCTTTCAGGTGCTTATGCACCCCGAATAGCTCCACAATTTGAAGCAGGGTGCACTGTGGACTCCCCAGTTGACAGTGTGGAGGGGTATACGCTTCCGACCAATGGCACCGACTACTGTCGACCAGATACTCGCACAACCATTGTTTGGGAACAGCCTCATTCGAGCGGAAAATGGCCGAGCCTGGCCCTGGCAAGGGGTTCCCAGAGCTTTCGGTAGGCAGTGGCTAAACAAAGGAGTTTTTCTAGTAGGCCACTTATGGGATAGGGCCAATGGGACCTGGCGAGCAGAGGAGGACATTCTAGCTGCACTCATCTACCAGGTAGCCAGGTTGCAGAGGTCTCCGAGCTATCCAAGAGGCCATCCGCCAGGATTTGGTCGATCAGCTCATGTGGGATGAAAGGGTGAGAGGGGAGTGGGTGGCCAGGTGGGGGCTGCTGGAACCCTTCACGATCTATCAGATTATGGAGGGAAACCAGCAGGAAGGTTATGAGGGGCGTCCCTGGAGGGCGACGGATGGGGCTCTGGGTTTCGGCCAGCAACTCCGGCCGGTGGCAACGGGGGGCGGGGGAGCGGTTGGCCCACGATGTGCCAGTACTACGGGACAAGGGGAGGATGTGGCCTGTTCCACGAAGGCCTTTCTGCATCACCACCCCTGCCTGTAACTTGCAAATCGACCCTTGCAACTGGGAGCTCCCCCCCCGCCGCAGCCTCGTGCGACCGCACACTCTGCACTAGACCACCACAAAGAAGCTGTACTTGGCACAGTTGCTGCAATATGATGTGGCAGCCTACTGGGCAGTACCACTCTGCCCGACCAGAGGCAAGCCGGACTACTATGGCGGCTGCTAAACTTGGTCGTTCCTGCTTTGGAATGGCTGGCAGCAAGGAGTCGCCACAAAGACAGCATGTGAAGAACCTGTCCCGTCATCAGCGTGAGGAGACAATCCACCACCTATTTCTGCAGTGTCCGCGTGTAAATGCCTTCTGGAAGCAATGGCCGCAGTTGGTTGCCCAGTATGGCCTTCCATGGCCCCACCAGCATGAGGCTTCGATCTTACTGGGCTCACTGGTGAGAGCTATACAGTAGCCGGCCTGGAAAAGCAACAGGTTTGGGCCAGGGAGATTATTAGGGCGGCTGCCTTATGGGCGATCTGGTGTTGTCGAAATGAGGTAGTGACGGAAGGATGTTGTCGTAATGAGGTGGTGAGCAAAGGATGTTGACGTATAATGAGGTGATGAGGGAAAGAGCGATGGTACCGGCCAAAATCATGGCGTATTGCATTACAGGTGGACTTTCGGAAGGAGCTTCAGAACCTCCCGCAGACGGCCCCGGCAGACCAGATGGATTTCGAGCAAGTATGGGGACCACATGAGGCCCTGGTGCGGATAGATGGACATGCCAGGCGGCTCGTATTCGGCCCCTTGCTCAGGCCGGAGTCAAGAATGGAAAGCACCGAGGGCCACGGAGACAGGTAGATACGAGAAAGTGAAAACCACAATAAAAGTTATAAAACACAATAAAGTTTGGGTAAGACGTCTGTGTGGGCTGTGCGGAAGGGCCAGGTGGTTGTGAGGGCCATGGAATCCACAATATCGCTTTATTACAGTTGGTTACAGATGTCAAATTCCGAAGATCTTAGGATTTCAGAACTCGGGATGCCCATGGGATTAGAGTTAACAGATAAATAACAGATTGGTAGTAAATCACTTTATAGCTTACGTGGAAATATCATTGGGTAATAAATCACTTCATAGCTTACGTGGAAACATCATCGTCCCCTTAACAAGGGTTTTCGATCAGCTGAACCGTAGAGGGGAGGACCGCAGAAATTACCCATGATTACTTAGGAGTGTAATAGGCTGCTTAGCATTGAAAATGGAGGGCTTAACCATTGTAAGCGGAGTGTAGAGACGGCGCTTCCGCCAGGGAGTTTGATGAGTAGTCGATCCGGAGGACGAGGGGGCA